GTTATACATGAAGACACTATAAAAAAATAAAAAAGGATAAAGCTGAAAACATAATAGACCAAGTCACATTAAATGGCTGACCAGAGAGATATGGTGCCTTATATTGTAAAGGCCGTTCATTTTCATAAATATTCAGTCTAATTAAATAGACAATTCACCATCTTGCCCAAGCAGCCATGTTAGTAATGAACTGGCTGTGGAAGTAATAGAGTTCTTTCTGTAAGAAAACCAAATCTCCGACAAACACCTCAGCATAGAATTATGAACATCACTGCTAGCTCTCCCTTGAGTAACACTGTAAAATATAGATCATGGTTGCTACGAAAGGCCTGGTAGCTGGTACATTCAGATACCTTCCTTGCCATTGTAATACATTTGTTTTAACCGCACTTATCATTCAGTGAACAAAAATCAAACTCAAGGACAGACAGATGAACCAGCATGTAGCAACTTCATATCGAGAACAAGAGACTCTGTACTCTGCTGATTAAAGAGACTCTGTATCTGCAGTGAAAACAGCCTGAAAGCTCCCACTGTACTTGCGGTCTTGAGGCTAGGTTCAGACCTGAGCGACACCCGGGATCGCGTGATCGTGTGCTAGTAAATTTTTTTTTTTTGCGACGCACAGCTTTTTTTTTTTTAGCCACTATAGTGTTCAATTTCCCACGCGGGAAACCGCGCTATCCGCCCGGCGCGACTGGGGTGCCATTAAAAAATAATGGCACCTCCAGTACGATCGGCTGTGGTGGGCGACTCTGTGAGTGCCTAGCAATCCACATGGTTTTGTGCACGATTGCCGCACGGTCAGGAGTCACCCAGGTGTGAACCGAGCCTAAAGCTGCTCTTACACAACCTGAAACTTGCAGATCCACAAAAGGTTCAAGAAGCGGTTTGCTTAAAAGTAGAAAACCTTTTTAAAAGAGTGAACCTACGAAAGAAATGCTTAGCATGCATATTAGAATATGCAGGAAAGACGCACAAAGTTTCAGGGAGGGGCAGGTTGTTCTGTTTTAAGTGCTCGTCGATCCCTCTTTATAGCTTAATAGCCGTGACAGGTTGTGCCTGACTCATTGGGAAAATTCTGATGTCCCCTGCTGAATTGGCGGTCCTGACTTATTAAAGTGTATGTAAACACCACCAGAGAACTGCTTATTTGCCCCCTTTTGGGTCCGTTAAATATACCATTGAAAGTGTTTGGTTAGCTTGTGAATTGAAAGTAAAAAAAATACTAGTTGATCTGGTTACGTTTTCCTGTGCACACTTCCTGTGTTATGTCAAGGAAAGCAATTAGCCCTACCAGTTCCCCTCTTTGACTGCAAGATGCAACTCCCTGCCTTGGAGGGATGAGGAGAGGGGAAGGATTAAGTAGCTTATCAAAAGACAAGTGAGCACTACTGACACCATTCTGTTCACATAAATGCCGTGTTGTCAGCCCACAAGAAACTGGGAGCATTTTTTTTTTCCAGATCAACAGGTATTTTCTGTACAAAAGGAAAAAAACATGTGGAATGAGCCTGTCTTGCAGAGATTTACTGCATAGGTTTTTTTTTTTTTAACCCCGATATAGACTTTACATTTTCTGGCAGCTGTTGAGGGCTTTTTTATCTGATTTCAACTGAAGAAAGTTCACATAGAATGCGATTTAAAGCCACCTGCTAAACCTAATTTTGATTATTTTCCAATCAATTAAAAATCAATATTAGATAACCACAATGGCAGTCAAAATGCATTTTTGTTTCATTTTCACCCAAATTGTGATTGGCCAATTAGAACGAGGAAATGACAGAAACAGTAGGTAGCAGACTTCTGTGAGATGTTTCGTTTCAAGCATTTTGTTTTACCATAAAAAATTGCAATCTTTAAAGATTGTGCTTTATAGAGTTAGTTCACCTTTATTTTAAATGTTCAACTGTATCCAAGGGACATCATTATGTTATAAATCTTTGTTCAGTGAAGGGGAAAGAAAAAGAAAAAAAAAAAATATCACATATGTTTGGGCCACCCTTGGCTGAGGCAATGCCTCGCCATAAAACTTCCAGTGTAATTGTTGCCGTCCTGATCTAATCCGCAACAGACAAAATGTTGAGGATCTCAACAAAACGATGTAAACCAAATCAGATGTCTCTCCCTCATGCTGAAAATGTAGTGCCTGTTCTATTGTCTGTAGTTTCATCTCAGGCACTGAACTACAGTATCCACAGCCCCAGAAGGGCAACTTTGGAAAGCAGGGCTCAATTGCAGGATGTCAGAATGGAGGACTAAAAGGTTTTCAGGAATATGATCTCGCATGTGTTGATTTGTCCCATTAAGATTGTAAGCCCTCACGGGCAGGGCCCTCCTTACCATCTTGTCTTGAATTGTAATGTCCTCCTTATATTGTAAAGCGCTGCACAAACTGTTGGCGCTATATAAATCCTGTATAATAATAATTTGCATTGATAGGTTTAATTGCTGGAGAGGTTTTTTTTGCTTTTTTGTATCAAAGGTGAACTAACCCAATAAGGACTGGCATTCAGCACCATTGTGGCCTCTTAGTAATCTATAGAATTTGCTTCAGCAAGGAACATCAAAAGCCAAGCTGATAAATGTCCCAATTGCAGGTGGTTTGAGAAAATCCTATAGCAGGATCTGCTTGGATCCATTCCGGATGGGCTTTTTCTTAACAGTAACTATAACAGTGTTCTTTTCTACTGCGTGTTTTAACAAAAGCTGTTTCCCTGCACCTCACTGCAATGCCTGCAGATTTCTTGTTTACTTGAATTGCTTCACAGTCTCACATTTTTTATATCAAGTCAAAATTTCAACATTACTTAACACTGTCAATTAACAGAGAAGGCAAATTAGAAGAAATGTAGCACAACGCAGTAGAAATGCCTATTGGTGTGAGCAGTATAAAAGCAAGGCACAGGCAAATTGTCACCACTTTCTTTTTCTTTTAAAGGCCAACTCCAACAAATTGGTATTTCATGGTTACTGGCAAGCCGAGTAATATGCTGGTGGAATGTTCTCCAATTGAAAACCCATGAAAAAAAGCAAAATTTTTCAGTGATAAAGAGCCAGTGAGTAAGTCAACTTACTTGGGCCAGTTGGCCTTTAAATATCCACTGTGGAAACAAATGCTGTGGCTTTGACACCACTGAAGTGTGCTTAAAAAGCATATAATACAGGCATATGTAACCCACAACAAAAGCCACACTGTACTCAAACATATAGGCATATCTATATGTAAAGCCTCTCCTATATCATCAACTGGTGTCCTGTAACAAAACTGAACAACACAGAACCACAGCAGATGTCATGGTAGCAGGCATTGTCGCGAGAGAGGCAGTATTTTTATGGATGATCCAGTCATGGTATATTGTGGGTTAGCCTGTCCGTATTGTAAAGGTTCCTGGTGACCAAAGCGACACACTTGCATTGATCTTGTAGTCAAATCATCACCACCCAGATTCTCCTTATAATTATACACAAGTCCTTCATTTTGGTTTTCAACGTGTGCAATCGTCGGCCAAGATACATCATGGCCAAAATAAATTAAACAATATACGATCAACAAAAGATAACTGTCCCTTGTTTCTTCAAAGACTTGCATTGCATTACTATGCCCAGTATAGAAGCACATGCTGCATCCTAGCAATACTGAGTATGCACGTTCACGTACAGCCATGTATTTATTATTAATGTGGCTTTTTAGATGTTTAATAGCAATATTCACTTTATATTTATATTCCCTTAATTTGGTGTGGATGTATAAAACATTTTATAGAACAGAACAGAACAGGTCTCTTTTAGATGGAAGATCTACCAAACTAATACTTTGCCCTAGGGAGTGAAATCATATTGATCAGCTACGTATAGGTATTATAAGATTGGTCTGTCTTGTTTATTTTTTACATTCTTCTCATGAACACAAACATTGTGAGCCGGAGACGAGACCGATTTAGTCATCATTCACCCATAGGCATTTTTACACGCATGACACAGATGCAAAACATAAAAACACTGCATTCCTATGGGGCTCGTTCACACCTGTGCTTTCGTAGGTGCCTGCAAAAGCGTGCAATGCAGGAAAAAGTACATGCGTGATTTTTTTTGCAGATTTCAGCATGTTCTGTCCCCAACAGACTATAGTGTAGCCGAAATGTGCGTCTATTAAACATTCCGTGTCTAAATGTATGCACATAAAATGCGCCGAATTCCAAACGCCTATGTGAATGGAGATTATGGATGTTCACTTTAGCTGTAAATGTCTTGCTTGGGAATCATTCTAGTAGTATTATTGTAGTGCCCCACACGGAGCCTCTTGTATAATAAAAAAAAATAAAAAATAAAACATTTGGGGACCTCATCCTGTTCCATTTACACTATATGGTTGACTGAAGTTCAACCTGTGCATTTTACATTACTGCTAAGGTAGCAGATTTTATTGGGAGCTTCTAGGAACACCATCAAAAAAAGACAGTCATATGTAGTTCATTATCAGCCCTCAAAGCCAGCACCGTAAAACCATAACATTTAAAAGGAACGTGTTTCAGTAAAGTGTCAGAGAGCATGTGCATAAGGAAAGGAGATTTTAGTGAAAGAAGGCATCCATAGAAGCCCTTAAAAAAAAACATGCTTCCTTGTTGACCTCCGTTGGCCAACTTAGAAATTGCCTTGTGAGCAGGCATATCCTAAAGAATTCTAGGGATGTATTATGCGACAGGGTCAGATGAATCACAGCTCTGAGAAGAAACAAATGTGCAAATGTGCTGGATTTGCCAGACTATATCCAATGAACTACAGTGTCTAATACTTTAATTATAGCCTTACCCCAAACAATATTTTAAGTGAACATTTATATCTAAGAAGCATGGGATAGGCTTAATAATAACCGTCATAATTATTTCTAGATTAGTTATAATAAAAGATAAACCAAAACGTGTTACTAAGAAAATAAAAGTTACGAGGGGAGAGCAAGTAATCTTTGGTAATAGTTGCCAAAGTCATGGTTGGGCATGGCTGTAATGGCGTTACATAACTCATTATTGCTTTGTAATGCAGCATTGGTAAAGGTTGCTATATCTGCTATATGTGGCACTTTGCAGGCCTACTCATGCCACGCTGGTTTCAAATGGAAATACATTCAGTAGAAGTACAATGTGCAAAAGGCAACAGAAAAAAAAAAATCAGTCTGCAAAGTTATGCCTATTGATTTCAAGGTCCTGCTTGACGGGCACAACCATTAATCAGTACAAGAACACATCTTTCTTAGATCAAAAGGATGGGACGGAATGGGATGTTCCGGCAAGAAGGTTAGTAACTTCCAGTGTAAACCGAGTCCGGTATATCTGAGCCCAAAGGAATGTACGATGTTACAAACATCTGAAGATCCATTTCATTTGAGGCGTGAAGCTCAACGCGGATACTTGTCTATATAAAGAGGTGGCTTGTTATGAAAATGGGAAGTTGAATCCTTTACAAAAGCTGTAGTCACTGACCACAGACTGTTTCCAGAACCGATACAAAAACATTCAGTAACAAATTGAGGATGTTAGTCGATTTTTTTTGCCAGAGTCTGACATTGTAGCTTTCAGAAGTTCTCCAGTCTATTTATCAACGTGGCAGGTCCAAGACCGTGGCTTCACATAGTCCAAAAACGCAGGCTGGAAAACAAAGGATTACTTTTTAGGGATTGAATACAATAGCATTTTTAGTGTGTCTTCAGTAGTGGCAAGCTACACTCACTGAAAGGGTAAAAAACAAAAACAAAAAACACAACCCCTCAACTGGCTCTATATGGGCAATGTACTAGGTAGCTTCAACAAACTTTCACAGGTCTATTCACAAAAGGGTGAAGAGTTTGGAGAAGGCAGAAAAAGTGATCTAGGACAACATCGCTGAACTGGAAAGTGAGCTGCATTGGAGAATTTTTCCAAATCAGCTATATTGTCCTAGATTGTTCACTTCTCCTGCCTTCTCCAAACTCTTCACCCTTATGTGAATAACCCCGTCAGTGTTCAAGTAAAAGGCAACAAAACAATGTGCTGAATGAAACTTTGCCTGAAGTACAGCTTTAAAGGAAACAACTAAATACACAGATAAGACCTTTAAGAGAGGTTTTCCTGCCAAAGGATTTGTAGTTTGGTCAGTCCAGTTTACGCAGCTGACTCGCAGCACAACTCTGTCTGGTAGGTGTGAAGCAGTGGCGGAATTGACATAGCGACCTAGGCAGCCGCTATGGGGCCCGGGGGGGCCTGGCCAGGGCGGGGAACAAAGGAGTTCCCCTGATGCCGTGTGGGCTGCCTGGGTCGCTATGACATCGGCTCCAGGAATGTCACTGGCAGCTGTGAGGAGGAGCGTGCCGCTGTCCAGATCACGGACAACCTGTCAGTGATCTTTGCAGCGGCACGTTCCTCCTCACAGCTGCTGCTGAGTCAGTGACAGCCTGCAGGTGTGGTGGAGGCGCCTGGGGCCTGGTGTTCAATTGAAGGCTCCAACTTCTCAAGATTTACGACTGGTGACTTCATATAGGGTGAATGCCAGTTGGAGATCTAAACCAGATGGATTGACTGCTTGCACAGTGGAATCCTTATTGAAAACTCTAACTTCTGTCACTGCAACTGCGTGGCTACATGCTGTAAACGGTGGCAGAGGCCAGGCCCGCCAGCGACCAAGCAGGAGGCGGGGCCCAGCGGTGGAGGCGGCTGACAGTGAATCAGGGCTGACAGGTAAAAGGTGTGCAGCGGGTTGACCAGCCCACCTGAGACACTGCAGAACCCACCATAGAGTCTATGGTGGGCTATGCAGGGTCACTCTCAGGTGGGCTGTGTGGGATCTCAGGTGGGCTCTGTAAGGGGCGTAACTACAAATCACAGGGCCCCATACAAAATTTTGCTATGGGGCCCTGTGATTGCTAGTTACACCCCAAGTGTGGAGACCTGATTTTACATTGCTGCAGTTAACACTTACAGGTCTCCGCCACACTCCTAACCCGTGACTGGGCTGATGACACTGATGACAGTTGTGTCTGTAGGATTCTCCATATTAAAATCTTTATGATAAAGACCTGTCCACTCTTCCATGACTGCACCCATTAGGAACAAGACACTAAAGCTGGCTATACACACACACAGAAAGGGAAATGAAAAAAATAAATAAAATCAAAGCAGGATGGAAAACTGTTGTTCTTGAATGAACGAAACTTCATCAGTGAATGTGGTTTTCATTCAGAACACTCCATTCATTCCAAAGTCAAACAAACTTTAGAACAACATTTGTCAAGCTGAATATTCATTTGAAAATCTACACGTGTATGGCCAGCTTACAGGTCAACAACTACGTGTATACACTTACATTGCTGATGGGACAGTGTTTCTGGGCGTACCACTCCTGGGAATAAAGGCAGAGGAGCACACCCTGACCCAGGAACAGGGACGTCCACATGAACACATTCCAGATAGAGCCTTTCCGACGGTCATTAAGGATGAAGTTTAGAATCACTACAAATAAAGAATGAGCATGATTTAACATTAATGTATTCTCCAAATATTTTTGAAAATAACAGGATCAGAGAATGCCACAAAACTAAAAGTTAAAAAGAACTATCCTATAAAGATCAATAAAGGGCTAGTTCACACCAGCCTCAGTGTGTTCCGGCCCGATTCTGGTCAGAATGCACTGGATTGCATTCCGGCCACCTATATTTGTATTGGGGCGGGAGGTGGGGCGTGGCGGTGCATTGAACGCAATGGCAGTGCCACGCCTTCCGACCGGCCGCATGGGACCGCGTGGCACATCAATGCCTGCGTTCTGGTGCGGCCAATCATACTGCAGTCGGAGGGCGTGGCTTTGGGAGGGCTTCCCAAAACAGAGTGAGCTGGCCGGAATGCAATCCAGTGCGTTCCGGCCAGAATCGGGCCGGAATGCACTGGGGCGGGTGTGAAGTAGTCCTGAGGTGTTTTTTTTATTTGTGTGCAGGACCTATTCCTGCATTGTGCAGCATAGCATTTGAGCATTATTAATTTTTCCACAGGGTTATTCACAAACAGGTGAGGAGTATGGAGAAGGCAGGAGAAGTGAACAATCTAGGAAAACATAACTGAACTGGAAAGTGAGCTGAAATGAAGAAATCTTCCCAGTTCAGCTATGTTGTCCTAGATTGTTCACTTCTCCCGCCTTCTCCAAACCCTTCACCCCTTTGTGAATAACCCCGCTAATGTTTTTGTCATTTGTCATTTGCCGTAGCATTGTAAGCATTTACAAATACTTACGATTCTTGATATACCACTACAGACTGTTTAGAACAGAAACCAGACTAAAATATACTACTACTCTAAATAAGGCCAACTGACACTTGGAGAAAAAAAGATGGATTTACAAATCTTAAGCTTTCCAACAGGTAAGATCTGTAAAAACTGTGGGGGAGATTTCAAATTCACATGCTCCGCAAATTTAGAAAGCACAGTGATGTGCTCTACAGATATGCATTGCATTCTGCTGGCTTCCGTAATCTGACAGAGAGCAATTAAACTTAAGAGAAAAAAAATGCTGGAAGAATAGTCCAATCACCAGACCTGTCAAAGTCACATGACTGTCTCTTCTCTAATAGTAGATCTCTCTGCTGCATTAGGCTCACAGTACAAGTTACAATCTGAGTGTACAATCTCTGCAGTCAAATTTAGATATACCAAAAAAAGTAATATGAGGGCCTACCGAATCTACCCAATAAGGCAAGCTCTTACACTACATGCATAGGAGATTGTACAATCAGATTGTAACCTGTGTGCGCGAACACATTAGCGTCACTCGCTCACTTCTCGATCTATCCCTGCAGAGAGCCGTGACTGTCACTCACGGCTCCCTGCAGGGATTTCCCCCCCCCTCCGATCCTCCAGCGCTGACTGGCAGAACGGACAGGGGCGGGCACAGCTGGCTGTGGTAGCTTGCGGTATACTGCGCCTAGGGTGACAGGAGGACGCTAGTTTGTGTCCTCCCATTACCCTTAGGAGAACTATGGGGAACAGCCCTGACCCAACAGTTCTCCTTTAAGCAAACAGAACTTATTTGGACACTACAAGTTCTACACTGCAGCCTGCAATATGTAGATGGGACCTAAAATGCAGGTCACGGTGTGCAGATCCAGTGGACTATAATGGATAGTAAATAATGATATTTGCTTCTAATGGGAGATGAGCTTTTTCTTCTTTTGTCTTTGCTGCTCCTGTTTTGACCTCCTTTATGTCCTAGCCAAGTTAGGCTAAATAAACTCTGTAAAGAGGCCTGCCAATCAAATGTATGGCTATAAAGCTTTCCAGTAACAACTATATACTTATTTTAGATGGCCATTTTAGCTACAAAAGGTTACTTTCTTTTTTTACATTGACCTTGGCTAGTGCTAAATGTCTGATGCCCTCTCTGCTTTTCTTTCTTCTCGTTTAACAAGTGATACTTACAGCCAAAGCCCATAAACATAATAAAAAGAACAGGATAGAAAAATCCAAAGCAGATCCCCAGCGCGTATTCATGGACCACAGCGGACACAGTAAACACAGACAGCATGGCTGCAGTTTTGAATCTTCTGCCAAAAAAATAGAAGTGTTAAAAAAAAAAAAAAAAAAGGAGAAAAAACAGCAAATTAGGTTATACTGTTAGCAATGTTGAAAAAGATAAAAATTATTTCCATTTAAAGAGTAACTCCAGGAATGCAAAAAGTTAACCCATCCAGTGGGGCTACATGTGCACTGCAAGGGTTAACTGTTCATTTTGGTCTAGGGCAGCGATGGCGAACCTATGGCAAGCGTGCCACAGATGGCACACGGGGCCCTGTGTTGGCACGCAAGTCATAAACTTGCATCCTTACTGCCATCGGTCAAAATAACAGATATTACCAATAATAAAGACTGTGCAAATTTCAGCCAGTTCTTGACGAAGCGGATGAATTTTGCACAGTGGGTGGCGCTGTCTGGCCGACATCCCTTGATCAGCTGATCGAAGGAGTTGGTCAGAAGCCGGCAGCCATTGAGCTGTTCAAGTATTTTCTTTACTACAAAAAAAGAACACCTGCTGCATCTTTGGGACAATAAACCAATAGACCTATCAAAGAAATCAAAAGACCTATCTAATCTGTAAGACATTACATGTAATTTCATCGGGTGCCTTAACATAATATTTTATTCCCCCAGCAATATTGACAAAGGGAAGAAAATTGAAACAAAAAACAGAGACTGACCAACAAGACCTTGTTAAGAGTAAAAAAAAAAGGAAACGGTATGAACCCAAAAGTGAGAAATTAGAACCCTGAATAAGAAAATAAAAACTATGCCAAAAAAAAAAGAGATGTAAAAAACAAGAAAATATGACAAAAAAGTGACAAAAATAAAAGTAAACAATCACAAACCTATGAGAGGCACAATTGGACCTAATGAAAAAGGGGGAGAAGCTGATTCTACATGTGGTAGAACAGTCACACAGGCGAACAAGCGACTAAACAATTACAAAAATTGTAGAAACAGTCAGATGGACAATAAAATCAGAATGCGTAGAGAAAGCGGGTCATATGAGAACCTGGGCTAACGTTCTGGCAAGCAACGCAGGAGTGCCAACATGGTATTATAAGGCCTCTCTGCGCCACCATCTGAATATGGATCTGTCGCAGGTTTAACCAATTCTCTCACTACCATGTGAGATTTCTAAAGAGCATCACACTTCCGCAACAAAATCAGGAAGACCCGTGCCCGATTTGTTGACCCCCTTTAAGGGTCCAGTGAACTTTGAGACTCTGCCAACTCTGCCAGGACATAGCTCTAACCTCTAACACAAACAAACCCTAAAATGTGAAGACAGTCACCAAGTACGTGAATTTCTTACCCAGAGGAAGTCCCGATAGGCATAATAATACAGCCAGTCATGGACAACCACATTCCAGGTTCGGTAGTAGTTGGCAAACGATGTTGAATTCCACCAGTCCTAAAGTACAAAATGAGATATTTACAAACACTGTGAAAGCTTAAACCTAGTAGAATTACACAGGAAATGGCAAGGACATGCTCCTTTATAAAACGGACACGCTTATAACTTATTTGCTGCCAAAGCCTTTTTTCCCCCAAACATTTGAAATACACATTTTAGGCCTAAAGGTTACCTAAAACCCTCAAAATAAAGATTTGCTGAAAATGGAGATGTTCATTTTTTTTGTCACATAATATTAGTGCAACCGTTTATATGTCAAGCGTTAATATTGCACGCCCCATGAAATGGCAAAAAAACACTACCCAAAATTGTACATAGACAATTTAAAAGCCTTTATAGGCCATCGATTTAGAGTTAACAGTGATTAACGGCCCTAGAATTATTGTTTTCAATCTGGGATGCGCAGTGATGCCAGCTATGTGCGGCACAATTGTTGTTTTTGCATGCATGTGCATCCGGTGCATGTGTTTGCCTTTGTATGTGCATGTACATGGGGATTTAAGAAAAACCCCAAAAATGGGTTTTTATTATTTGATTAAGCTTTAATTTAAACTTTTGGTTTTCTTTTTTACTTAACTTTATTCCTATCACAAGGCGGGATTATAAATGTTATATCATACTGCTGGTGACTGGTTCACTTTAAGATGACATCAGGGGTCATCTTTGGAAGCTGACCGGGCACAGACTGTGCTTGATTAGCTTCTTCCCTGGCCAGGGAGGCCAGAGATTGATCATGTCCAGAGCTTTCAGAGCAGAGAGCTTCCTGCCTTCCTTGTTCGTTACAGGGGAGATCAGCAGAATCATCTACCATAAGACTCCTGGTAAACCAGGAGTGACAGGGAAGGGGGGGACGACAACTATCAGGCAAGGGCACATTAATGTACATATAGGCTTCCTGCTTCTAAATCAGAGTAGACCAGCACAATCATCCACCATGAGAGTCCTGGGCAAACAGGAGGGACAGGGAAGGGGGGTTGGGGCTGTCAGGCAGGGGCACATTAGTGTACATGTAGAACTGATCAGTCAGCTTTAAAGCCACCTGGCAAGAAAGTGGGAAGCTCACTGTGAAAAGGTAAACTCCTGCTGATGCAGTACTTACATCTGTGGCTGTGGAAGGGTTAAATTCCAATAATGAAACCTAAATCGGAGTTACAATACATTTCCAATAGCTACCTCCTTTTGTTTTTTTCTCTGCTTCATGAGCTTTTTTTTTTTTTTTTTTTTTTTTTAAGAAGCTTTGTTTTAAAATCACAGCTGTTCCCCTCAGAAACTCTTCTTTGCCACACGATATTCTCCAGGTTGAATGATGCCCAGTGTCTCTCAACCTAAAAGACTGAGAAACGACCGTATGTGTAAGACATCAAGGGCCTTTCCCCTGAGCGCAGCACCCTGCACTCTGTGTATTGAAGCAGAGAATGGAGATGTCTTCACATCATGGCCACCATCTGCATCATCCAGGACCACCTACAGCCAGGAGAAGATCCAGTGTATCGCATGACTTTAGAAAAAGATATGCAAATAAAGGCAAAACATACTGCTGGGAAGGGGGAGACCTCAAGGTGGGTGATAGTGGTCCTTTTGTATCCCTGTAGGTAAAGTAGAGTTCATACCTTGTAGAACATCCGGTCAGCAAAGCGAAGCATCTCAGCAAAGGCATTGAGCCAACAATGTAGGAAAGCAAAGAAGGCCAGGAAGAGAATCAACACACCTGAAGACAGAGGGGAAACTATGAAGCAACCTAAAATTACATACACACTACTGGTATCAAAACACTACCACCAACAATATTGTATTTTGTATGTAGTTGATTTAATATAATGAATAATATCATTATAAAAATATTATGTTAACTATATGCCATTATTTCAATTTGGGACCAACCTGTAACATTACCAGGGGTGCTTATAACAATTACCCATAGTTTAATCCCTGGCTGCTGACTCTTGGCGGTCCTTAGAAAGGATCTTAAAACAGAAGTTAAAGTCTTTTATTTTAAAAAAATGCTGACAGGCAGGCTTTTTAGAACAGAAGAAACTGTGTGAATCTCTTGTCATGTATCCTTCTATCTGCCTGCAAGCACTTTTCTAAAATCCTTGCCATGACAAAGTAACTCCTGCGTGCATGCATGGACGTTACGTCATCCGGGCCCGGACGAAGACCTAAAACATGGATGCACTGGTGAGGGAAAAGAGCTCAGACAAAGTAGCTCGGGAGGGGATCGCTTTTTGGCAAGTCTGCCATAATGTGCTAATATACTGTAAATACTAGCACATTTTGGATAAAAGCTCCTGGGAGCCTTTATTATCACTTTAACACTGGCAGTTGAAGGCAGGCTTCCCACTCATGCGATAACAATGTTTGGCTGTTACTAGGGATGCACCAATACCGATACTAGTAGCGCTATTGTTGCCAATACCGAGTATTTGGGAGACTACTTGTACTCGCCCAAATGCTCCGATACTTACCCCAGATTTCCTCTGACCGGCAGTGCTACGAGAGAACATGGAGGCGACTTCCTGCCAATGAGGAACCTGGGCTGCGGGTAATGACACGCTGCCTGGCTTCCTGATTGGCCAGGATGCCAGCCCTACGATAGCGGAAGTACCAGTATCGGTACTTTGTATCAGCGAGTACCAAAAGATAAATATCGGTACTCATGATCGATACCGAGAAAACGGTATTGCAGCATCCCTAGCTGTTACAATAACCACATGATCAGGAGCTCGTCCCACTGGATCCCAATCATAAACAGTGATTGGGAGCTGATGTTGACAGCTCAGTCACTGTGCTAGGAGCACAGTGAGACACTCTGCACCGGGCAGCATCTTTTAAATGGCTGCTTAACATGAGAACTGACTGTGCTGCACTAGGGATAGGCTGAGGAGCCCCTGACTGTGCTGCACTAGGGGTAGGCTGGGGAGCCCCTCACCTAGAAAAGTGGAAGGTACACGGCAACCCACTGAACACGGGTCACGGCCCACCAGTTGAGAACCAAGGCTTTAAAGGACTACAATCAATATATATCTATATATATATAGCAATAATTAATGCTATATACCACAATATAACATTGGACAATGACGCAGTTTTGTAACTCATGGCAGTTTGCTGTAGAGAGAGGACAGAAGGGAAAATTGGTTGCTATGGGTTACTGCTATTTGCATACTGTTCTTTACATCATTTCAAATGGGCATGTAGAAGTTACAAACAATACAATTAACTGCAGAAAGGAAAAAGGTGGCTGAAACATACCTGGCAGGATACAGTTGAAAACGCAGAGGACCAGGACTCTCAGACTAAAAGGCTCCTGGCTGATGTTGTGGAAAAGTGGGATGCAGAGTCGGACAAAGACGTAGTAGGCATAAAAGAGGCAGCCAAGGACCTAAAGTAAAAAACAAAAGAATAAAATAGAAAAGATGTGATTTCATCTCACTTCCTGCTGTGGCTAAATCGGGCAGGAAGTGGAGGGAAATCTCCCTACGAACTTTCCTCTTATGCTTAAGTTTGGATTGCCTCGGTTTCTAACAGATTTATGATGCAACCAATTTAGTAGGGGGCTTTTTTTTTTTTTTAAAAACAAGAAAGATCATAAAGCTACATCAAGAACAGCTATGACTTTAAGGCCTCATTCACACTAGAAACGGCCAGCACGTACAGATCCGTGCACGGCCGTATCGGGCAGCTCCCAGGAAGGACAGGTGCGCTGTGTGTGATTAGTATGCAGCCCCCGTCCTTATCTATGGGACTACGCGGCCATACACCCCCCTTCGCTCACCTCACGTGTAGGTCCGTACGGGTGCGTGTTTCCTGGCTCGGGCGCAGACAGGATCCAGCCTGCCAGCGTACGAGTACACTCACCCGCACAGACGTGCAGGGCGGGTGAGCGTATGGGGCGTATGGCCGCGTAGTCCCATAGAGAAGGGCAGTGGCTGCGTACAAATCACATGCAGCACCTGTCCTTCCCGAGAGCTGCCCGATACGGCCGTGCACACAGCACAGAGCTGTACGTGCCAACCGTTTCTAGTGTGAATGAGGCCTAAAAGATTCTGCTCAAAAAAAAACTGAATAAAAAAAAGGACATTTTTAATCAAGTCCCTCCAAAAGAATAAAAGAAATACCAAATTATTAAAATTATTGTTAGGATTAGAAAAAGGGGTTCTCTAGCTTACATGGAAATTGCACCCCAATATACTAGCAGGCATCAGTGAAGCTCTTTTCCTGCTAAAGCCTGCTTGACTAATATATGTCCCTTGATTTACAGAATACTAGTGTTCATATAAAGAAAAGGAACTATTATATACGATTTCACCTTCAGCTGGCTCAAGAGGTCAGATAAAGAAATTACCCCTGAGAACACATAGTAGCTGGGGGTTGGGGTGATGTGGGTTTCCAAGTTACATAGTATTTGGGGTTGAAGACATACATCCATCAAGTCCAACCCATAACTTAAGTTACTACACATGAGCTGGGTGTTAGGGTGATGGCTTTCCAGGTTACTACACAGAAGGAGCTGGCGGTTGGGGTGACGGTTTTCCAAGTTACTACAGAGAAGGAGCTGGGGGTTGGGGGTGATGGCTTTCCAAGTTACTACATGGAAGGATCAGAAGGAGATGAAAGTTTTGAGGTGAGAGGAAGCCCTTTAGCCGAGGCAACCGAAACATTATAGACAATTCACACAATGTTGTGTTGCTTTACCAGCCAAGTTGTGAACCAACAAGTAGCATTCTCACCACTATCATTAAATGGCAAGATATTTTTTACACTTCAATTCCACTTGAAAAAAGGAAAAAGCCATTTACCTGAAGAAATTTGGTGACAACATAGCCCCACCTTATAGATGGATTCCTGAAAATCAAGAAATCAAGCTTAACAAAATGTACATGAACAATGTTAAATGCTTACTATAACGTATAAAAAGGATGTCACTGAAAATACTACAACCACTGAACAGACAACAGAGAACAAAATGATCTGATACAGGTAGGACAAATGTTATCACACAGAGGTCGTCTGTGTTAATTTTAGACAAAAGGTCAGAGTGCTGCTAAACAGTACAAAGGTGAGACAGTAATTTACCTTGGATAGTTGTCTCTGTAGATCAGCGTTGGAGCAAACAGGAAATACAGGTATTGTGTAACTTGTGGGACTGGAGCAACAGCTATATTGGAGACAAAAATATTTACACAGATCCCTTATTACTCAAAGAGCTATTTGCCATGCAAAATCATATACTAAAACTGTCAGAGGAGATACAACAGGCATGTTAAATGCAATGAAACTGAGGACTAAATTTGATTATACTTTAAATTAGAGTATTGGGGTTTTGGGGTAGAGTGCGATGTTCCTACCACTAACCCTTTTACGATCTGTCCCTGTAACCTTAATACTAACCCTCAAATTAGCTCTCCCTATATTCAGAACACTTAACTTTCCACTCTCTCCCTGTAACCCACCTCCAATCTTACCAACCCTTCCTGGTAAGCCTATGGTCCTCCTTAGTGTAACACTATCTCTCCCTGTAACCCTAATGCGAACCCTTAAAATGACACTAAACTCAGGAATTCAATCTTAACAATGCATTCAAGTACCTTAACTTTGAAGAAAAATGAACCTTATTTGTGTATCACTGGGCTTTACATCCTCAAATGATCTCTGAATTCATGACACTGTCCCTTCTGGAGGGTGGCTACTTTTGTTCCCCCATGGTCTCTGTGTGTGTTGAAAAAGTAGACACGGCTCCAAGCTCGCGGTAGGTGAGATTGCGTGGTATAGTCCGTTAATCGCATGGTACTATGCGATGAATGCACTGTACTAGTGTGAACCTCAAAAACACTGACATACATATACAACCACAGGCACAGTCTCACACACACATGCACACTCCACACTTTTCTTTTTGTTTTGGTCCACCCAGTCTCCCTACCTTACAAGAACTGGAGTGGATCCTCAGCCTGGGGTCCAATGTGGGCTTCTGTGCTGTGACGGTGCCCCATCCATATGTGCATTGCTTGTACTGCTCCCTTGCGTGCCCTGTAGAGGTGCCAGGAGCCAGAATATGATGGCATTCTGGTCCAGGTGCGTCTATAGCACGTGTGAGGGAGCTGTAAGCAATGCACATATGGATGGAGCTCCCTAGCTGACATAGCCCCATTGTATCCCACCACAAGCTCACACTCGGCGCTGGGCAGCATATTTTGAATGGCTGCTTGGCACAAGAAACAGAGTGCGACGCTAGGGGGAGGCTGGGAAACCTAAAAAAGTGGAAGGCATGCGGTGACCCACTGAACACAGGGTCACGACCCACCAGTTGAGAACCAAGGCTTTAAAGTATATCTATGGTCAAAAAGCAAAATCAGATGTTCATTCAGAGAATCTGGGAATTTGCTAAAGCAGATGCCCAGAAGGCAGAGCTCACAACATGAACTTTTCAACATGATTTACCATGAAGTAAGCTTAAACTGGATTGTCAAAAATAACTATTGCTTGTATTGCTATTACGATGCTGATGTTATAAAAGGAAAAAAAAAAAAAAAAGGGAGTACGCTGTGACTTTACATCTCCTTTAACCATCAATGTATTACTAACACCAACTCCACCACAATCCCTCCAACCCTTTTCACTATTTCTCCATGTAACCCTAAAGCCCCCAGTCTGATTAATACTTCCTGGAAAACATAAGCCCCCCCTTTACACTAAACCTACCGGTAACCCTAAGGCCCCGTTCACATTGAGCGGTTCGCAAATCACACGTTTGTGGCGCGATTTGCATGTCGCGCGATATCGCGCAAATGCTTGCATTGAGCAAGCTTGAATCGCGGCAAAATCCGCTCCGAAAAGGGTCCTGCTTTAGCGACACACGACCCGCGACAGCAGGACCCTTTGCCAAGCATTGGAGCGCGGTAAATAGCCGCGATATCGTGGGAATTACCGCTCGATAAATCGCTCAATGTGAATGGGGCCTTACTCCAAGACTCTCTAAATTAAATGTAACCATTTTGGGTGGTCTGCTGAAGGATACCAGGAGGAGCAGGGCGACCCAAGAAACCATTGAATTAATTTGACCAAGGCCACATTGATGGGCCCGAAAAACTGGTGCAGTGCTTTAGGAATTAGTATAACATTTACAAAGCAAATATTTAAAAAACAATTCAGTGTTTACAAACTGATTATGTCTAACAAATTCTCGTAAACTTATAAATATTTATCTCTGACTTTTCTCATCAAACTCAGATATGATGAAAGGAAGCATTTACTGTATAATAAAAAAAAAAGTGAGTTGCCGTTTATGGAAACCAGATTCTGCGTTTAATTTTCACAAAGAGGGCAAAGATTAAATCTACTTTTGGCAATCCCACAGCTTTGGTTTTGATTTTAATCTCCTCTCTCTCTCCAGGTTTTCTACCAGACCGTAAGAAAGTCAGGGTAATAAGGTCTCTAACTGGCTGACGTATTACTTACATGTCTTCTCTTTGGCAAAAGAGAAGATCCGAGGGACATTTTCTCTTATGAATGAGTGTGATTTCATCATCAGTCGAACCTGAAAAGAATGAGAAGAAAATGAAAAATCCAACGCAATATTTTACAGTATTATGCCTCACTCGCACTATATTTTTAAGGCCGGCAGGGAATGCCTGTGAAAAGAATCAGCAGATTCTTGCAGATGGAATCACAGATGGTTCTGGAGAGCTACAGGCATTCAGCCAATACAAAGCAATGACAGGTTGACAAGAGTTGCAGCTGTCCAACGCTCTTCACATGCAGAAAGATTGCGTCCAGGACCGGTCATCTTACCCTAGCCGCAGGTATCTGTTGGATATGTGGACACGTGACTCCTGTCTGCATGTCACTGCCGTGTACAGGCTGAGTGGCAGCAGCTGTCTGGAACCACCTGCGATTCTAGCAGAGGTTTCTTGCTGCTGAAAAGCCCATGTGAATGGAGGCTTAAGACATTAAGGATTGGATTTATTGGGGGAAAAAAAATTGCTGCTTGGAGATAAAAAAAAACAAAAAACGGAGGCGATCTCCACGGTGCAAGGGGCCTAAAAATGAAAGAAAACTCAAAAGTATGCATTGCCTGCTTCGGGAATGTTGTGAAAGTTGGAAAGATGTTATTTCTGGTGCAACTGTCGAGGTAGTTTTGAGAAAACCTGGTATTATTTGTATTGAATATCTTGGTAAGTTGTGATTTTACCCGACATGGGTTGTCCGCAATAACAGAATAAAAAATTTTGTTTAAAAAAAAAAAAATGAAAGAAACAATACATTAGGTTGCAGTACAAATAGGTTACCTGTTCCAAAATGACAATGAAACGGGATGCTGGGGGCAAGTTGTGCTGTAGAACCATGTACGCTGGAACGAAGCCAAGACCTATCAGGAACGTCATATACAGAGATCCATAAAAAAGAGAGCAGATGTTCCGATGGGAAGAAGTCTTGTATGCCTGGGCCCACATTGAGAAAAGTGCATATGGAATGATCAATGTGCCGAAGAACATGCAAATCCATGTAGAGCAAACAATCGGGAATTTGCCAAAGGCGTATTCCAACAGATCAAACTCCAAGACAAGCCTAAAAAACAAAAAGGCAGAAAAGACCGGCAAGAAATTAAGATGGATTCTACACACAGCTTTATCTAGCTTGTACAATTATATTTAACAGCTTATAACACCTTCTGTGTTAGAATTATGAGCCATCAACTCTGCTTACTCTCTTCTCTCCTCCTATCAGCACCTGTACTTCTAAAAGCGCCAAATCGGCCCCTAGTGTGATTGGTGCTGTGTAGATGGCAGGAGGCAAAGATCAATAAAGACTCGGGTACTGATACTAGTTTTATAGAAAACACATTTATTTTATCATGGAATATACAACTGCAATAAATAATGTTTTTTTTTTTAATGTTTGGTTTTACATATTTACACATTCAATCCATTTTAACAGTGAGGATATATAAATGCCTGTTATGAAATCCTAATTTATCAGAATGAAAAATGGTACAATCAAGGTCTGTTATGCCATTAATGGAAAAGGCTCTGTGTTTTACAAACTGCTTGAAGGACACTTGGCCAAGGCCACAGCAGCGAAAATGTGTAGTGCTGACCGTAAAAATCAGGCTTAGCCAGGGAAATGTGTGATAACCCATTACAACAAGGTTCCAAGGTAAAATCTGATTAGTACACATTCTGCACATCATCCCTATTTCATCATCATCACTCAATAGTTACAGCAGTATTACCGAAAGAACTCCGACACCAATGTAGGTTTACATGGAGCTTTCTGCCCCCTGGGGGAAAGGGGGTCTCCTTTTCCTATATTGTTCGTTTCTCCACCTCTAAGGTTGTACATTCATACAGCCCTCTTCTCCTACTGAACAGTGTCTGTTTTGTCTGGAGACTGTAACTTGTACCCTTATACTATTTATTGTACAGCTCTGTGTAACATTGAGGTTTTATAAATAATGGATAATTAACATGATAAAGAACTATGCAGCTTGCCATCAAAATATTCTTTACTAGGACACTCACCTTCCCTGGTCAATACCATCCACTACCAGTGTGCTGAGGATGAAGAGGATGAGGAGGGCAATAAACATGTGGTAGATAGTCCGAAAATGATCAACTTCAAAGAGCTCACTGCATAAAAACAAAATGGTTAACTGTAAATATTACACCAACCTATATAAAGGGGTGTGCATGTATATACATACATACATACATACACACACTATTATCACAAGTACTGGGACGCCTGCTTTTACACGCACATGAACATTAAATGGCATCCCAGTCTTAGTCCGTAGAGTTCAATATTGAGTTTTGAGCCATCAACTCTGCTTACTCTCTTCTCTCCTCCTATCAGCACCTGTACTTCTAAAAGCGCCAAATCGGCCCCTAGTGTGATTGGTGCTGTGTAGATGGCAGGAGGCAAAGATCAATAAAGACTCGGGTACTGATACTAGTTTTATAGAAAACACATTTATTTTATCATGGAATATACAACTGCAATAAATAATGTTTTTTTTTTTAATGTTTGGTTTTACATATTTACACATTCAATCCATTTTAACAGTGAGGATATATAAATGCCTGTTATGAAATCCTAATTTATCAGAATGAAAAATGGTACAATCAAGGTCTGTTATGCCATTAATGGAAAAGGCTCTGTGTTTTACAAACTGCTTGAAGGACACTTGGCCAAGGCCACAGCAGCGAAAATGTGTAGTGCTGACCGTAAAAATCAGGCTTAGCCAGGGAAATGTGTGATAACCCATTACAACAAGGTTCCAAGGTAAAATCTGATTAGTACACATTCTGCACATCATCCCTATTTCATCATCATCACTCAATAGTTACAGCAGTATTACCGAAAGAACTCCGACACCAATGTAGGTTTACATGGAGCTTTCTGCCCCCTGGGGGAAAGGGGGTCTCCTTTTCCTATATTGTTCGTTTCTCCACCTCTAAGGTTGTACATTCATACAGCCCTCTTCTCCTACTGAACAGTGTCTGTTTTGTCTGGAGACTGTAACTTGTACCCTTATACTATTTATTGTACAGCTCTGTGTAACATTGAGGTTTTATAAATAATGGATAATTAACATGATAAAGAACTATGCAGCTTGCCATCAAAATATTCTTTACTAGGACACTCACCTTCCCTGGTCAATACCATCCACTACCAGTGTGCTGAGGATGAAGAGGATGAGGAGGGCAATAAACATGTGGTAGATAGTCCGAAAATGATCAACTTCAAAGAGCTCACTGCATAAAAACAAAATGGTTAACTGTAAATATTACACCAACCTATATAAAGGGGTGTGCATGTATATACATACATACATACATACACACACTATTATCACAAGTACTGGGACGCCTGCTTTTACACGCACATGAACATTAAATGGCATCCCAGTCTTAGTCCGTAGAGTTCAATATTGAGTTGGCCCACCCTTTGCCGCTATAACAGCTTCCACTCTTCTGGGAAGGCGTCCACAAGGTTTAGGAGTGTGTCTATGGGAATGTTTGACCATTCTTCCAGAAGCACATTTGTGAGGTCAGGTACTGATGTTGGATGAGAAGGCCTGGCTCGCAGTCTCCGCTCTAATTCATGCCAAAGGTGTTCTATTGGGTTGAGGTCAGGACTCTGTGCAGGCCAGTCAAGTTCCTCCACCCCAAATTCGCTCATCCATGTCTTTATGGACCTTGCTTTGTGCACTGGTGCGCAGTCATGTTGGAACAGGAAGGGGCCATCCCCAAACTGTTCTCACAAAGTTGGGAACATGAAATTGTCCAAAATGTCTTAGTATGCTGATGCCTAAAGAGTTCCCATCACTGGAACTAAGGGGCCAAACCCAACCCCTGAAAAACAACCCCACACCATAATCCCCCCTCCACCAAACTTTACACCAGGCAAGTACCGTTCTCCTGGCAACCGCCAAACCCAGACACTCCCATCTGATTGCCAGGCAGAGAAGCGCGATTCATCACTCCAGAGAACACGTCTCCACTTCTCTAGAGTCCAGTGGCGGCGTGCTTTACACCACTGCATCTGACGCTTTGTATTGCACTTGGTGATGTAAGGCTTGGATGCAGCTGCTTGGCCATGGAAACCCATTCCGTGAAGCTCTCTAAGCACTGTTGTGACAATCTGAAGGCCAGACGAAGTTTGGAGGTCTGTAGCTGACTTGGCAGACAGTTGGCGACTTCTGCGCACTTCAGCATGCGCTGACCCCGCTCTGTCATTTTACGTGGCCTACTACTTCGTGGCTTAGTTGCTGTTGTTCCCACTTTGTTATAATACCACTAACAGTTGACTGTGGAATATTTAGTAGGAAGGAAATTTCACGTAACACCTAAATCCAATGATTTGGAGGGGTGCCCCAATACTTTTGGCTATATATATATATATATATATA